TAGGTTTTTAGTACTGAACACTTTTTATCTTGATCACTGGAAAAACAAAAGAAACATAAAACAGAATGTACAATATAAAATTAATTCAGAAAGAAAACTAAACTCTCTAGAATTGGTGTAACTGCTAGGACTCAAAGAAGCCAAAATTTGACAGGGCAGTAAATAAAAAGAGGACTCACAAGAAAACCATTAAATGGGCTACAGTGACTGACAATCAGATTACTCCTTTAAAACTTTTAAGTTCAATTCAAAATTCATTGCAATTATTGTGAGATAGTTTCAGATTAAGATTCTGGTACATGTACAAATCTGAATTCAGACTAAGTAGTTAATTGTTAATTAGTTGCCAACTACCTGTTTAGAGAATTACAGCCTATCACTGCTATGTTAAGGTAAATGTAAGGAAAGATGCACTTGATTTTCTGCTTTGTGATACTTGGTCCAAATGAGGTGCCCTTAAACTATTGTATACTCAGGTGATTGGCCACTCAATCTCCTGATATGAGAAACTTTGTCCATGTAAACTTCCAGAATGTGGTACTTTGTCTTGGTCAGTGGCCACATGGCATACTGGTAAGTGATACTTGTGAGTTGATCTACCAGCATTTGGTACTTAGTTCATTTGAGTTGGTCTACCAATATTTGATTCTTGGTCCATATGAGTTGTACTACCAGTATTTGAAATTTGGAATAAGTAAGTTGGTCTACCAGTATTTTGTACTTGCTCCATGTGAGACAATCTACCAGCATTTGGTACTTGGTCCATGTGAGTTGATCTGCCAGTATGTAATACTTGGTCTATGTAAATTGATCTACCAGTATGTAATACTTGGTCTATGTGAGTTGATCTACCAGCATTTGATACTTGGTCCATATGAGTTAGTCTATCAGTATTTGATTCTTGGTCCATATGAGTTGTGCTACCAGTATTTGAAATTTGGTATAAGTAACTTGGTCTACCAGTATTTGGTACTTGGTACATGTAAGTTGGTCTACCAGTATTTGAAATTTGGTATAAGTAAGTTGGTCTATCAATATTTAGTACTTGGTCCGTGTCAGTTGATCTACCAGTATTTGATACTTGGTCCATATAAGTTGATCTATCAGTATTTGATATTTGGTCCATGTGAGTTGATGAATCAACATGTGATACTTGGCCTACACGAGACCAACCAGTATTTGATACTTGTTTCATGTGAGTTGATCAACCAGTATTTGATACTTGGTCCGTGTCAGTTGATCTACCAGTATTTGATACTTGGTCCATATGAGTTGATCTATCAGTATTTGATATTTGGTCCATGTGAGTTGATGAATCAACATGTGATACTTGGCCTACACGAGACTAACCAGTATTTGATACTTGGTTCATGTGAGTTGATCTACCAGTATTTGAAATTTGGTATAAGTAACATGGTCTACCAGTATTTGGTACTTGGAACATGTAAGTTGGTCTACCAATATTTGGTACTTGCTCCATGTGAGTTGATCAACCAGTATTTGATACTTGGTCCATGTGAGTTGATCTACCAGTATTTGATACTTGGTCCATATTAGTTGATCTATCAGTATTTGATATTTAGTCCATGTGAGTTGAGGAATCAACATGTGATACTTGGCCTACACAAGACCAACCAGTATTTGATACTTGGTTCATGTGAGTTGATCTACCAGTAGTTGATACTTGGTTCATGTGAGTTGATCTACCAGTATTTGATACTTGGTCCATGTGACCATCTACCAGTATTTGGTACTTGATCCATGTGAGTTGATCTGCCAGTATATGATACTTGGTCCATGTGAGTTGATCTACTAGTATTTGATACTTGGTCTATATGAGTTGATCTATCAGTTTCTAATACTTGGTCCATGTGATTTGATGAATCAATAAGTGATACTTGGCCCACATGAGTTGATCAACCAGTATTTGATACTTGGTCCATACATGTTGATCTACCAGTATTTGATATTGGTCCATGTGAGTTGATCTACCAGTATTTGATACTTGGTCCATGTGAGTTGATCTACTAGTATTTGATACTTGGTCCATATGAGTTGATCTATCAGTTTCTAATACTTGGTCCATGTGAGTTGATGAATCAGTAAGTGATACTTGGCCCACATGAGTTGATCAACCAGTATTTGATACTTAGTCCATACATGTTGATCTACCAGTATTTGATATTGGTCCATGTGAGTTGATCTATCAGTTTCTAATACTTGGTCCATGTGAGTTGATTAATCAGTATGTGATACTTGGCCCACATGAGTTGATCTACCAGTATTTGATACTTGGTCCATGTGAGTTGATGAATCAGTATGTAATACTTGGCCCATGTGAGTTGATCAACCAGTATTTGATACTTGGTCCATGTGAGTTGATCTACTAGTATTTGATACTTTGTCCATATGAGTTGATCTATCACTTTTCTAATACTTGGTCCATGTGAGTTGATGAATCAGTATGTGATACTTGGCCCACATGAGTTGATCTACCAGTATTTGATACTTGGTCCATGTGAGTTGATGAATCAGTATGTGATACTTGGCCCATGTGAGTTGATCAACCAGTATTTGATACTTGGTCTATGTGAGTTGATTTACCCGTATTTGATACTTTGTCCATATGAGTTGATCTATCTGTTTCTAATACTTGGTCCATGTGAGTTGATGAATCAGTATGTGATACTTGGCCCAGATGAGTTGATCAACCAGTATTTGACATTTGGTCCATACGAGTTGATCTACCAGTATTTGATATTTGGTCCATGTGAGTTGGTCTACCAGTATCTCATACTTGGTCCATGCGAGTTGATTTTCCAGTATTTTTTACCAAGTGGATGTGAGTTGATCTACGAGCATTTGATGCTTGGTACATGTGAACTGATATACTATTAATTGATACTTACTCAAGGTGTGAGTGCTCAGTTGCATTCCCAAAACAAATATTGCAGCTTGAAAAAGTATTAATTTGTATACCTTATCACCAGAGTCTGATATTTCTAAGGAACCCTAGTTCCAGATTTATTTGACAGATATCAGGTCTATATGATTATAATTTTTACCATTTTAACAGACCCTTAAGGAAAACTGCAAGTCTTCGGCCTGCTTGTTAACCAACAATTTTATCACTAGCAGCTAATCATACAGACAAACAAAACCTGCAATTCTAATTTGGTTCCTCCATACATCAACACATCCTTATCATGTGTATTATATCCTATTTCAGTCAATAATGAACTGATTATTAATTCTATGGGTCTGACTTGCACTCATTTGGAACATTTTGTCTTCTGAAAATTCACTCGACTAAAATAAAGTTAGTAATAAAACAGTTCCAATGAAAGACTAATGTTTAAGTACATGTTAAGATAGGTGAAAGAACCTCACAAAATTGTATACATTGAACATAAATGTTACATGGTAATTAACAAAAATTATTAAATCAATTTAGGACCCAAGAACAGTCCAATATTCTGAGGAATCATACATTAGAGACTAATAAAATCAAGGAGTACTGAACAGTCAAATTGTGTTGGGATATCAAACGTATTTATGTGACAGGCTAATATTATTAAGGAGTTCTTAACAGTCAAATTGTGTTGGGAAATCAAATGTATTTATGCGACAAGCTAATAAAATCAAAGAGTTCTGAACAGTCAAATTGTATTGAGATATCAAATGTATTTATGCGACAAGCTAATAAAATCAAAGAGTTCTGAACAGTCAAATTCTGTAGAGATATCAAATGTATTTATGTGGCAAGCTAATGAAATCAAGGAGCTCTGAACATTCAAATTGTATGGAGATATCAAATGTATTTATGTAACAAGCTAATAAAATCAAGGAGCTCTAAACAGTCAAATTGTATTGGGATATCAAATGTATTTATGTAACAAGCTAATAAAATAAAGTAAGAGGAGCCCGAAACAACCAAATGGGTTTCTACATATATGTGACAGGCTTATTAACATATTGAAAAGACTCATTTCAATAGGGAGAATATCCCAGAACATTCTTGTAGTTACTTATCAGATAAACTAAAGGATACACCATGTTCTACAAATTTAAGAGCAGCGACACTTTTCACAAAAAATCTTACAATTGAAATTAATCGTAAGTAATACTGAAATGTGTATGACTTACAAGATCTTTTACTCTTTAGATTTTTTGTAAATAGAGCGGCTGATTAGCAATTTCATCAGATCTCTTTCCATTAATAGATAAATATCTCAAGACATGAAAGTCATGTGTATGTCTTATAATTTAACAGTATGAGGGATATTTCAAACTCTTCTTTAAAGAGTTGTGGCATTGATTGTTTAACTTGAGGGGTCCTATTCTCTTAACAAGCGACTTTAACTTAAAAGTACTTAAACAGACTAGAAGTAAAAGCATATTTATAATGTAGGGTGAAAATGACTATCCAACAGCACAGGTCAATGTCCGACAGGTGGATCCACGTAAACATATATCTATATACCCTAGTTAATTAAATATCATGCTTATTTGACATAACTCAGAAAATATAAAAGCAAAATCAAAAGAAGGTTCACGACCATTATCAGAATCTTGAATAAACAAAAATACCTATGGTATATTTTTCTAATTTTAAAATTTTTAAATATGTAAAATATAAAAAAAAGTGTTGTTCTCAAAATTCAAAAAACTTAAATATATAGGAGGTGGAAAGTAACAGGGACAGTTCTTACACAAGAAATCAATTTCAAGTAAAGAATATAGATAGTTTACCTGTTTAAAAATACTTATAAAATTGGTGAGAAAATATTTCATAATGTAAAGTGGATTATGTAATTTCAAATCACTCATATGACATACTTTTTCTTTGGTAAAAAACACTTCATATATCAAATAGGTTCCTCTTTTTGACTTATAAATGGAGAGTTAATCTCTCTATAATAAAAAAAATATTTCTTGTAAAGCCTGTCCCCCTTAAATCCCCCCCCCCCTTTTTCTAAAAAAAAAAGGAGAAGACAAACCTGAATCTTGTCGATGATACTGTGATGGTGTTGGTGGTCGGTGGTGAACAGATGTCGGGATGGGAAAGTTTCCAGCTGTGATGTTTTGGTTCGATGTCGTGGACGGCTGCATGTCCATCCCCGCCGACTGTAGATAGGGCTGTGCCATTCTAGACGTCAGAGCTGCCTCAGCCATTGTCGGATCCCTGTTAGACATCAACCAATATGTTAACATCAATTTAAAGTTCTCAAACCATGGGTCCATCTCATTCTCTTAAGACCCAGTCTTATTCTCTACTGCGTAAGATGATTAAAGTTTCAAAGTGACACTAAATATATCCTTAAGAAAAATCAATGTTACGATTCAGATCTGCAATGCACTTGTAATTTCACTAAATCCAATCATGCATTCGTTGCAGCTGCACACATTTTTTTCTGCACTACACATAATTTACACAGTGAACTAATTCAACCTTATATAGATTTATGTCTTGTACACATATTTAGTATCATAACAGTACTAATAGGTCCTTCCTAATATTTCTATTTCAATTAAACAATTACTAACTGAAGATCTAGTTCAAATAAAAAAGAACCATCATCTGAATGTAAATTTCATCTGTTCGTATTGAAAGGAAATGCCCTACTGTGAATAATAAATTCTGCATTTAATGTGCATCTAATCAATTTTAACACAGGTCTGCATAGAGTTTGCAATTTTGTCTTCCTATACTACAGAAGTACGATTACGTAATCAATCCTAGCTCTACGGCAAAAAATACATTTGCAGTCAAGTAGCTAACCAAAAGTTTTAAAAATCAATTTTGTGTTAAAATTTGACATGCATGTAGATTTTTAAAATCCCCCAAACCAGGAAATGGTGAAGTGCAAGGTGTAATTCTATTTATAGAATGTAAATTTGAATGATTAGGGTTTTTTAATGTGCATTTTGTGCAGTCATGAGAAGCTAGATGATTTTTTCCACTAAAATGTTATTGCCAACTATTTTTTTTTTTTGATACAAGATAAACAGAAAAATATAATATTACGTAACAACATTTATTAGATGGGATCAATAACTCAAGTCCTGCACATATGAAGATTTAATTACTTATTGATGAAAATCATTTAAATTATTGAAAAGAAATATGCATAAAAATTGCAAATTTTTATTCAGTTGGGATAAATGTTAAAATTTGTATTGATTTGAAATAAATTGTTATACAATTGAAACAATATTTGAGAAAAAAATTAGATGTGAAAATTACTAATGGGAATACAATTTCATGTTAAAATAATTATTTTGTTTTATACAAAGAAACTGCATTTTAGTATGCATTTCTTTTCATTTTGTGTACTATTAAATCACACAAGCATGATTCTGATGGATAAAACATTCAATATGAAATTTTAATATTTATGTCATGGAAGATAATGTAATCTTCATTATCAGAATAAACATTCTTAATGTAAAAGGTTTTAAAATGAAGAAAACGGAATTCCCTGATGTGTGGGGAATTAAAAATGAGGATGAAAAGGAAATTAAATGAAAAAAGGAAATTGTAGAGTTACAAAGAAAAGAATATGAAATGGGAAATCAAAAACAAATAAAATGAAGGATTGTTGGGAGAGAGAGAAGAAGGAATAAGATTTATAATACAAATATTTTCTAAGGTAGACAGACTATTGGTATCAGTCTATCAGTAACTCAAGGCTGTGTGGCCATTATATATTTTCAGGACCCAATCTTAATTCTTTAGGGTATCTGGTTACAAGGCCTCTATTAAAATTTCACCCTGAAATGGATAGGGAAAAAGTCATCTTTTTGAAAAATGAAAAAAAATGTTTGCACCAAGTAAAAAAAACAGACAAAAATTATATCAAAGTGAAAAGCAAAAAGCTTTAAAAACGTTGTCACCAGACAGTTACTCTGCTGAAGAAATGAAAAGACAACACTGATCACTAGACTAGATATAAAGTATATATACAAAATGTCCTTTATTATAAATATTTTGACAATTTGTGTCTTATCTGTATCATACTGGATTTTACCAAATCAGTTGTGATGGGGGGAAGGCATAGAGGGATGCACCCCCCTTTTGATGGGAAAAAAATTTTTCTGATAAAATCTGCAAAAATGAATTTAAACATTATAGACACATAGGCCCCCTCTTTCTGAGAACCATGGATCCATCCCTGCAAACAATTGGAAATCCAAAAAAGTCAAAAGTTCAGTTTAAGATCAGACAACCAACCAAATGTCAGAAAAAGTAAAGCAGTACAGTCACATCAGTCTAAGGGTGCAGCAATGTAATTCTAAGGGAGGGGGAGGGGGTTAGGTTTTAGTTGGGTCTTTTTAAGATTGCTTTCCAAAAAAAGTTATCTGTACCAAGAATTTAAAAAAAGAATGATTGCTGTTGTGGGTTAAAAAATGTCGTGAGGTAGAAATCCTTGCCCACACATATATCTACATCTTGTTTTAATCCTAACTTCAAGCGTAAGGACACAGAAAACAAAATGTTCAGGTCTAACTTGACCTGAAGGTTTGATAATATGTAAAATAGCTCAAATCTTGTATGTGTTTTGACAAATGTATTCTGATTATAAAACTAGGGTGATTATCCTGCAGAACAGAATGTAGGCTTGGTAGACAAATTGGTTTTGAAGTAATATACATGTACATTTCATTAAATGCAATTACAATAATGATTTGAACAGTGAAAAATTCAATCTATTTATGGTATTCAAATAAACTTTAATGTACTTTTACGATATGCTTTTACATTTGTCATACTAAAAAACAACAGCTGATTTACTTTCATGTATCTCCATGTACATGAAATGTAGGCAATCAGGCTATACAAATGATTTAGTAGTTTAATTCTACAAGTGTACAATACAACAGCTGTTAACAAATCAGTGGAAATTGTGTTTAATTCACTGGACTTGTCAAATTAATCCTAGAAATTGGTTTTTTTTTCATGCCACACCCTTGTTTCTCCTCTTACATGACAGTTTTTTATTTTGATTTGACATCTATTACAAAACAACAGCCACATTTATTTAACAATATGAATGTATGCATTGCCTTTAAAAGGACTAAACCATATATTCATTTTGTCCTTGATTGATTAACTATTGGTGTAAACCACCACTAGCATCAATCTTTGACAGTAAGTTTTTATTGGGGGAGGGAGAGGGGTTAACTAGTTTTTATTGGCGGAGGGAGAGGGGTTACCTAGTTTTTATTGGTGGAGGGAGAGGGGTTACCATGGAGTTTCTGCAGGAAAACTGGCAATCCTTTATGAAATAAGTTCTAAGTCAAGAACATGTGCAGCTTTCTAGGAGTGGTGTTCGAAACTCATATAATCAGTGCTGACTGGCTAGTAATCACTGTAGATCTAGTAATCACTGCAGATCTAGTAATCACTGTAGATCTAGTAATCACTGTAGATCAAGTAATCACTGTAGATCTAGTAATCACTGTAGATCTAGTAATCACTGTAGACCTAGTAATCACTGTAGATCTAGTAATCACTGTAGATCTAGTAGTCACTGTAGACCTAGTTATCACTGTAGATCTAGTAATCAGCGCTGACTTGCTAGTAATCACTGACACTGTAGATCTAGTAATCACTGTAGATCTAGTAATCACTGTAGACCTAGTAATCACTGTAGACCTAGTAATCACTGTAGAACTAGTAATCACTGAAGATCTAGTAATCAGTGCTGACTTGCTAGTAATCACTGACACTGTAGATCTAGTAATCACTGTAGATCAACAACGGTAAAAGTTGTAAACATGAAAATTTTCGAGATGGTTTTTTTTTCGCTTATTTCTCTATTATAGAAAATACACTAGAATATTTAAGCGAGAAAATTTTAGAAAACAGCAGCATTAGTGTGAAGGGTGTGTTAGAAGTGCTAATATGACCCTGCCTGTGTGAAAAGTTTATGAATAGAAAAATATCTATGTTTACCATAAACCACTCCACCATTGAGGCACCTTTGATAATGACAAAGAGTATGATTCAACTTTTTAACAATTTCAAAAATACAGGTTACAATTGACACAAAAAATTAACTAGACAAAGATGATGCCCCCACAACAGGCTTGAATAAAGTGTAGTGGACTAAAGATTCAGTAAATAGTGATGTTGAAGTTAAAAGTTTGGCCTCTGATAGACAGATTTGATGCAAAGACAACAGTTTTGATTTATTCCATAATGTAGTACAATTTATTTTTGTTGTTCCCTTTGAACTGCAAAACTCAAGATTTATAAAGTTTATAACGAATTAAAAATATTGTGAATGTTTATATGTACATTTTAGAGTGCCATATCCAGTTAACAATTGTTCTAAGTAAAAGTTGGACTAATAAAACATTAATTCAAAAGTGTATTTTTGACATGAAAAGTCATCGTAAATGCATTTTTACTTATTTATGTAATGACAAAGGTAAACTAGATGACTTTTAGTCATGGGGGGCACAGAAATAGCAAAGTTCAACATCATGTGAAGAGTAAGTAATTTAAAAGAAAATCAAAATTCTGATAATGTGCACAACTTTAATACATGTCTAAACACTTTGCATAATAAAAATGAATTCTAGCTTACAGAAATATTTAAGTCTCTAAGCAAATTATTTTAGCAATATGTAAGTCTATAATGTATTTACAACATTTTGATCTGACTCTTAAACTGAGCTGGAACTTTGACTTCTAACCCGAATAAGGTTATCCTTACCTCATGGTAAATATGTTTACTAATTTAATGAAGACCATTAAAACAGTTTGGTTCAATATCTTGCTGACAGGTTTAAAGGTATCTATTGACATATTGAACACAACCAGACAGAGATAAACCACAAACAGAGATAAACCACAGACAGACAGGCAATCAGACAGAAACACTCAACAGACAGACAGACAGACCTATAGATATAGGCAACAGTTTCTTTCAATATTTTGTGGCATGGTTGTAGTTATACAATGCAACATAGAACACAGACAGAATATATTTATAGGAAGACAAAGACATTACAGCAGACAGACAGAGACATTCAACAGGAATACAGTCAGACAAACTCCATATGTAAACACACAAACTGTCAGATATAGAGGTTCTGCAGATCGACAGATACACCCCACATAAAGAAACACTTTGCAGCCAAACAGACAGACAGACAGGCGGAGACACTCCATAGAATTACATATAGACATATTCCTAAGACAGATAAAGACACTCCACAGACAGACAGACAGACAGACAGACAGACAGGCAGATACATTCAACAGAGACAGTCAGATAGACACTCACAAATACATTCTGCAGCAAAACAGACAGAAAGAATAACTCCACAGACACAGTCAGATATACTGTCAGTCAGACACTAAACAGACAGACAGTCATTGCAGACTGAGACACTTTATAAACAGACAAACTGCCAAACATACAGGGTCAGCAGACAGACAAACAGAGACATTCAATAGACAGAAAAAAAACACCCAATCCTTAATCAATCAGCTTTCTTATAACAGCAGTCCTTTATTATTTTTCAATCCTTTTGAAGTAACTTCACATACAAAAACAAATTTCAAATTACAATAATGTATAACCATATGTTATACTACCACTATCAAACATATGACACAGTATTGTCATTAAATAGCAATAAACAGATGAAATCTTGTTCCTGACTGTGTCCTGCATAAAACTTTTAATTCATACATTTCATATTGATCATTTGATCTACAGCAATATATTACATAACAACACCAATCTTATAAACATAATCAAACATAACAATGAATGGTCCCTTGATAGAAACATGACATTACTGTACCCAAGATAATCTATTTCTTGTCTCAACAAATTAATGATTATCCCCCTTTTTTCTTGTAAAGTTTGAAGATAACTAGGGGCTGGTATTAAGTCTTAAATTGATCTAGGAAAGACAACACAAGAAAAGAGAAAAGACAAATAATGCTCTAAAACATAACAATAAAAGAATGAGCAACACAAACCATACAAAAAAACAATATTTGCATGAACTTAAGTATTCAAGAAAGGTAAGCAATTCCTGCTCCATATATGGCAAAAATTGTGTTACTCCTGATACTAGATGGTGAATTGTGTTACTCCTGATACTAGATGCACTGTAAAAATGGTGTTTAGATCCTAAACACATTTCTAAGCACATCTTTTGTGCACTTTTTTTTACATGTTTAGATCTAAACGTGTCTCAGTACAATGTGTTTAGGATTGTGTTTAGAATCGTGTTTAGCTTAGAAAAAGTGTTTAATTTCTAAACACTTTCATTTTTAAACACATTAAAAGTGTTTAAATTCAAGACATGTTTAGATATTATGTGCTTACTGAGAAATGTGTTTAGAAATTAAACACAATCCTAAACACGTTTAGATCTAAACATGTAATACAAGTGTTTAATTTCTAAGCACGACTTTTACAGTGTGGTGAATTGTGTTACTCCTGATACTAGATGGTGAATTGTGTTACCCCTGATACTAGATGGTGAATTGTGTTACCCCTGATACTAGATGGTGAATTGTGTTACTCCTGATACTAAATGGTTAATTGTGTTACTCCTGATACTAGATGGTGAATTGTGTTACTCCTGATACAAGATGGTGAATTGTGTTACCCCTGATACTAGATGGTGAATTGTGTTACCCCTGATACTAGATGGTGAATTGTGTTACTCCTGATACTAAATGGTTAATTGTGTTACCACTGATACTAGATGGTGAATTGTGTTACCCCTGATACTGCTAAGATGGTGAATTGTGTTACTCCTGACACTAGATGGTGATCTGCACTTCTATACATAACATATAAGTCTATAAAATTAGTTTACAAAAACCCAACAATACAAGAAGAACAAAAATAGAAAGAGAGTTCCAACAATGGGCAGTATCAACACAAATCACTGGTTAACAAAAAATGTGACAATGTGACCAACAATCATGCCAAAATAAATGGACATTTTTTTTTTTTTAATTGTATAATGACTTCAAATTTTTCTATGTTTATATGAATTTTATTTTTTGAATTTGAATGAATTTTCAGAAAATCTGTGCAAATCTTTAGGAACTAAAATTTCTATATATTCACAGATTCTTCTTAATTTTCTTCAAGTCTTTTTTTCTATAAAATAAATTTCAATTTTCTCATAAATCAAAGTTTTTGTATAATGTTTGATGTACATTTTCAGATTAAAGCTAATCAAAAATTTCAAAACCAAAAGTTGGATTAATACTGAGCTCAGCTTCAGACTAAAAATAATAACCAAATATATATCTAATGTTCATACATGTATCGTCCTGAACATGCATGAAATATTTGCAACTGAACATTAAGCACTGCTCAATCATTCCAAAGTTCAATTAAATTTCCCTAAAAGGACTATAAACTCATTTTTTGTGGAACTAACATAATATCAGCATAGAATTTATAAAAAAAAATTAAATGTGTAAAACAACTCTATAACTCTGGACCTATGTCACAGCATTTATAGCTGACTATACTGTATGGGTTTTCTCATTGTCAAAGGCCATACGCCGTGCAGTGACTCAACATTGCTTATATCCATGACATTTGAACGTTGTCTCATTGGCAATCATACCACATCTCCTTATTTTTAAATTGAATCACTGGTCAGATGATCACCCTTGTGGACTTTCATCAGCAGTGATTAGATAAAAGAAGATGTGGTATGAGTGCCAATGAGACAACTCTCCATCCAAGTCATAATGTGTAAAAAGTAAACCATAATAGGTCAAAGTACGGCCTTCAACACAGAGCCTTGGCTCACACCGAACAGCAATCTATAAAGGGCCTCAAAAATGACAAGTGTAAAACCATTCAAACAGGAAAACCAACAGTCTAATCTATATAAAAAATGAGAAACGAGAAACACTTATGAACCACATCAACAAACAACAACCACTGAGATATCCACTTAGATAAAACATTCATTATATCATTTGTACACGAGCTTATATGATCATAGTATGAATATTGGCTGAGATATGTAGTAAAACGTAAAACTTAAGTATGGTTTAGGTTATAAATATTTACCAAAGTCAACAATCCATAAAATAGCAATCAAATGCCCTTCTCTTTATATCACATACTAGATTTTCTCATTGTTGAAGGCCGTACGGTTGCCTATGATTGCTTACATCCACTTCAATTGAACTTTGGTGGATAGTTGACTCATTGGCAATAATACCACATCTCCTTATTTTCATATAGTATTCATTTAGAAGCTAATACATACAACAGTTGATGGTTGTAAGCCAAGAAGTTCTCAAGATATGACTAGATTTATACATGAAAGCACATATGGACACAGGGGGGATATCTAATAGTTCTTCCCTAACTTTGTTACTTTGTTGCACTTTACTGAGACTGACTAATGACATAGATAATATATAGTTTGTTCATTATCACCAACCATCATCGTAATTAACACTACCTATATTCCCTATGGAGAGTAAAAAGAATATGGTTCAGATATATAAAAACAACACTTTCAAACTATATTTGGAAATTATAATATAGATATAGTTACAGAACAGTGCATTTATTATTGATATGACTTTATCCTTTTCTATTAAGATTACAGAAGATAGTGCTGATTAGTTAATTCATTTTGGATTCTTTGAATATTTATAACTAAGATAATAATTTTTAAATTTCATCACCTCACTTGAACAATTAACTTTAGATTTTGTCATATATTTTCTATCAACAGTTTGTATATCTTTTTTCTGCATCACAATACTATGACCCAATACTTTCCTCAAAAATACAGTTTAATTGAATGGTATAGGGGAGATAACCCAATAATACTATGTCTTTTTTTGTGTTCAGATAGGTTAAAATGTTTCCCTTGTAGCAAATGAAAATTTTTAATATAATAAATTCTATTTCATGTGAAATTTGTTATAATAATTGTATAACTTTTTACAATTAACAATAATGCAAATTTGTTAAATGCTAAAACTCTGCACATTAAGTTGTAGTATAGTGTGTTTGAGTTCTATAAATCTTCAATTTTTTTTTATTAAAATCAGATTTTTAAATTATGTTGTTTATTTTGGAGTATATATTCATCTAAGAATATATGGCAATTGCTGATCATAAATTTCAGAATTTTTGCTCAAGTAATTAAACATTTAACGTTGTCCAATTTTGATTTAATGTTACTTTCTTTAACGGACATCAAATAACTGGCTAAGTGAATGAATTGACCTTGACAGCAACTGGTCAGGTGTTCTTCTTTTGATAATTCTACAGTATAATTTAAATATGTATGGAGATGATCTTTGTCAAGAGTGACTTTCATTCATACTTGTGAATGGCTGTAAAGGTCATTATTAACCTGTACCTCTCTCTGTTTAACAATAGGGGACAGATTGTGTAAACCATATTTACAACAGAGAGCTAATGGTCAGCTTTTTTATTTACAGACAATACTTTCATTTAAAAAATTGTCAGGGTTCCTATTTTCAACAATAAAAAATCATAGATATAAAATTCATCTACCACATACAAGCTTTTTAATTATACATATTTGTTGAAGAATTATATATATTTTTCTAAGAATTATAGAACTCAAATGAACTATGATAAAAATAGCAAAATTTAAAATATAAGTTTTGATTTCAGTTTTCATTCTGTCCCAATTTTCTCAATATTTAAAAAAATAATTTCTGAACTTACTGTAATGCGTACATAGCTATATATAAATCTACAGGTAAAAGCCAAAGAAACTAATATATCACAGATTTATAGTTCCTTATTGCAGAGAATTACTCTCATTTCTTCCTTAAATTGACATAAATGTATCGGTGTAAATCTTTATCATTCATTCCAAATAAAAAAGAATACATATGAAAGTTTAAAATATAGTCTTAAGTTTAATATCTTAAAATTGTTGGGTTGCTATCTCATACCCATCATCTTCTTTCATCCATATTGTACAACCAAATGTAAATGGTCATGTTTTACTGAGATAGAAAAAAAAACTAAAAAGAAAAGTAGGTTTCCATTGTATCATATAATAAGATTCTTAAAAGTGAAAGGTATATACACCTTACAAACATTCCATATACCAAAAATAGTGAACCTCTTGCTTATAGAAACAGAGCTAACCACTTAAACTTAATGTTTATCATTGAACCATGAAAATGAGGTCAAATAATACTTGCCACACAGACATGTACCTTGAATCATTCCATTCACCAAATATAGACTAGTTGACCTATTGCTCATAGTATCTGAGACACAGACTTAACCAAGAAATCTTAACATTGACCAATAAATCATAAAAATGAGTTCAAGGTCACATGAACCCTGCCACATAGATATGTACCCCTTACAATCATTCCATACACCCAAACAGTAGACCTGTTGCTTATAGTATCTTAGAAAAGGTCCATACTATAGAAACTTAACATTTACCAATGAACCATAAAAATGAGATCAAGGTCAGATGATACCCGCCAGACTGACATGTTCACCATAAAATCCTTCCATACACCAAATACCGGTACATTGGCCTATATGTATTATTTATAGTATCTAAGTAAAAGACAGCAGCACAAAAACTTGCATTGACCAATGAACCATTAAAATGAGATCAAGGTCAGATAATACCTTCCAGACAGACATGTACACCTTACAATCATTCCATACACCAATTAAAGATGACATTTTACTTAGTCTATGAGAAACAGATGAAACACAAAAACCTAACATTACCAGTGAATCAAGAAAATGAGGTCAAGGTCAGATGAAAACTGCCAGTCAGACATGTTCATCTTACAATCATCTATATGCCAAATATAGATCACCTACTGCTTAAAGTATATGTGTAATTGACCTAATCACCTAGCTTTCACCTTAATCACTGATCCATGAAATGCGGTTGAGGTCAAATGAAACCCGTATTAATACAGACATGTAGACCTTGCAATGATCGTATATACCAAATATAATTACTTATAAGGGAAAAATTATATGACAAAAAAATCTATAAAGTTTTTAAAGCTTAGCAGTCTCTGAACCATGAAAATGAGGTCAAGGAAAATGAACATATGACAGACGAAAACTTCGTAACTTTAGGAGTAATACCACCATTGATTTTCCCCTAATTAGTCTTTGTTAAATTGGCACTTTTCAAAACATTTTGCAGAATTTATCTTTGTTTCAAATAAAGAAATACTAGGCATGAGTAAAGTTTTATCCTGTCCAGTACTACAGACCAAATCTCACATAACATTTCATTGCAAATAAGATGATATCCATCACTGGAAGTTAACCAATCAAATTTTCAACCCTTTTTTCCTGTTTACAAGCTTTAGTAACCCTGTAACCTCAAGTTTCCAAAAGGTCATTAAAGGGCAATAACTCCAATAAACAGTTGTCGGACGATTTCCTCCATTTATCTTAATTGTAGATCTTGTCTTGCTGATCATTTTTCCTTATTTAAGTTTCTATCTATCTATTATAATTTCTAAGATATAAGGCAAAAGTGCAAAAAATTGGTAAAAATCATCATCAAAGGGCAATAACTCTAACAAGGATCGACTGACGATTTCGACCATGAGCCTTATTTGTAGAACTTGTTTTGCTGATCATTTTTGCAATTTAAAGTTTCTCCCTATCTAGTATAGTTTTCAAGATAATCATGATAATAGGCAAAAGTGAAAAAAATGGTAAAATTTGTCATTTAAGGGCAATAACTCCTGTAAGAAGTAGTCTGACAGTTTTGACGTATATACACAATTGGTAGAGCGCAACATTCAGAACATATTTGCTATCTAAGATTTTCTTTATTTATAACGGTTTTCAAAATAATAGACAAAAAACTTGCATTTTACCCCTATGTTTTATTTTTTGCCATGTCAGCCATCTTGGTTGGCAGGTGGAGTCATCGGACACAGTTTTTTAAACTGGATACCCCAATAATGATTGTGGCCAAGTTTGGTTAAATTTGAATGATGAGAAAAGCTCACTTGGCCCTTCGAGAGGAGTTGCGATGACAAGAAACAGGACTGACGGACTGACGGACGGACAGATGGACGGGTCAAAAACATTATACCCTCCGTAACTCGTTGCGTGGGGTATAAACTAGATGTGACGTACTATGATATGATGGTATTACACCCTAAGAAGTTTTTATTGTTCAATACACTGAATGTGATTTTTTTCCTTTGTACTACTGGCTATTTAAAGCATTACTGTCAAGTTTTGTCATAATCAGTTCAATAGTTTGAGAGAATTGAGCAATATTTCTTTGAAAAATCCAAATCACACTGCATCATGATAGAATATAGTGTGGACCAATAAATGATCAAATATTCATCTCATCTGCATACAAAGAGTTTAATATGATACAAAAGATGACTCTAGGATGATAAATACCTCTAATGGACCTCTTAGTCTTCATTATAAGGTCCCTTTTGGTCCATTTATACCTCTCATTTCCTCAAAATTTCAACTTTTTAGGCCAATAAATCAGAATTTTGGGGTAACTATCACACATTTATGCCAGAAGTGTGATATTAAATGAGTAATTGAGGTGTTCAAGCTGAATAAACTATCCATATAAAAGTTTACTGTCTCCATGGAGGTTTCAATAAGTCCTTGCGTAAAACTTAGGTTTAAGGCGCGCTCCAAAGAGGGACATAAAATGCTTCCCTTTTAGTGAATAATTTGTTGTTACTGCTTCTTAAATAATTTCATTTACTTATAACTGTATATTTCTTAAAGTATTACTTAGGAAAAAGTTTTCTGTTATAGCAAAATATAAGAGATAAAGAGAAATAAAATGCTTTGCTGGGCACAGCTTGATACGACCGCAGAGGTCGAAACCCTGAACAGTTGGGGCAAGTATGGACACAACATTCAAGCTTGATACAGCTCTGAATTTGGATTGTGATTAAATATTTGACACAGCATAGGTTTCTGACACAGAAAGAATGTGGTCTAAGAACTTGATTTTTTTTAATTTACCTATTATGGTCCAATGTCCAAAATCAAAATACATGGTTAGATTCAGCATATCAAAGAACCCCATATATTCAATTTTTGTTGAAATCAAACAAAATTTAATTTTGGAACCCAACTTGGACAAACTTGAAAACTGGGCCCATAATCAAAAATCTAAACACATGTTTAGATTCAGCATATCAAAGAACCCCAAGAATTCAATTTTTGTTAAAATCAAACAAAGTTTAATTTTGGACCCTTTGGACCTTAATGTAAACCAATTTAAAAAAACGGGACCCAAAATTAAAAATCTAAATACATGGTTAGATTTGGAATATCAAAGAACCCCAATAATTCAATTTTTTGATGAAATCAAACAAAGTTTAATTTTGGACCCTTTTGACCTCAATATGAACCAATTTGATAGCGGGGCCCACAAATAAAAAATCTAAATACATGGTTAGATTCAGCATATCAAAGAACCCCATATATTCATTTTTTGTTGAAATCAAAAAAAGTTTAATTTTGGACCCCAACTTGGACCAACTTGAAAACTGGGCCCATAATCAAAAATCTAAACACATGTTTAGATTCAGCATATCAAAGAACCCCAGAATTCAATTTTTGTTAAAATCAAACTAAGTTTAATTTTGGACCCTTTGGACCTTAATGTAGACCAATTTAAAAAACGGGACCCAAAATTAAAAATCTAAAAACACGGTTAGATTTGGCATATCAAAGAACCCCAATAATTCAATTTTTGATGAAATCAAACAAAGTTTAATTTTGGACCCTTTTGACCTCAACATGAACCAATTTGATAGCGGGGTCCACTAATAAAGAATCTAAATACATGGTTAGATTCAGCATATCAAAGAACCCCATGTATTCAATTTTTGTTGAAATCAAACAAATTTTAATTTTGGACCCCAATTTGGACCAACTTGAAAACTGGGCCAAAAATCTAAAATCTAAATACATGTTTAGATTCAGCATATCAAAGAATCCCATATATTCAATTTTTGTTGAAATCAAACAAAGTTTAATTTTGGACTAACTTGGACAAACTTGAAAACTGGGCCCATAATCAAAAATCTAAACACATGTTTAGATTCAGCATATCAAAGAACCCCAAGAATTCAATTTTTGTTAAAATCAAACTAAGTTTAATTTTGGACCCTTTGGACCTTAATGTAGACCAATTTAAAAAACAGTCCCCAAAATTAAAATCTAAATACACAGTTAGATTTGGCATATCAAAGAACTCCAATAATTCAATTTTTGATGAAATCAAAAGAAGTTTAATTTTGGACCCTTTTGACCTCAATATGAACCAATTTGATAGCGGGGTCCACAAATAAATAATCTAAATACATGGTTAGATTCAGCATATCAAAGAACCCCATATAATCAATTTTTGTTGAAATCAAACAAAGTTTAAATTTGGACCCCAATTTGGACCAACTTGAAAACTGGGCCAAAAATCAAAAATCTAAATACATGTTTAGATTCAGCATATCAAAGAACCCCATATATTCAATTTTTGTTAAATCAAACAAGGTTTAATTTTGGACCCTTTAGACCTTAATGTAGACCAATTTGAAAACAGACTTAAAATTAAAAATCTAAATACACGGTTAGATTCGGCATAACAAATAAATAAATGTGGTCAAAGATTTTACAAATCTAATGCGCCATACTGTGCAATTAAAGATTACTTCTTGAAATTTTTCAATATTT